TACATGACTCCTAATGATACTAGTGAAGTAGTGAAAATGAAGAGATACTCATCGATAACTCCATACGTTTCACCAAAATATATGAGGATAGATAAACGAATAAGTTTAAATGAAGAGAACATATGGTACTTGAATGGAATTATAAAAGCTAAAAACAGAGAAAAGTTGTTCCCGTTTAGTTTCAAACCCACATTTAAGGTACCTACAACCTACTTGAACGTTGTGAAATGCATACCTACTCTTTGTTGGTATTTTAACCACTATAAGTATAATACAAAATAAAAAGTTAAACTACTATCATCAAAAATAATACTACTCCGTCTACGAAATCAATATTTTTATATCAATTCGCATATAATAAATATAAACATTTTGAACATTTCTACTGTTGGTAGATTTTTGATGTCTCCCAATTCACAAACATATCTACACATGATATTACATTACAGTTTTATAAATAGGTACTTTTATTTTTCAAAATAAATATAATTTGGTTTTATATTATTATTTATGGTGTTTTGGTATTTGGTGTTAAAATATATTTTGAAAAAAAATGAATGCCATTAAAAATATTACGCTAGTATAGATAAATACTCGTTTCCTTTTTTTCACAGTTCCGCCTCTGAATGATAAATGTGAAATGTGATAATGTAATATATGTGATTATCAAGTAGATTCACTTTTACCATTTTCATCTATGAGTGCATATTTTAACATCTATATAATTGAGATTTAATAACACATTAAAGGAGGTACTTGTTTAATAAGTGAACAAAACATTGATAATTTGTAATATATTAGAAGATATTTTGAATAATAAATTAATAAATGATACAATTAATATAATATAAATAATAGTTTATTAAATTATATTCATGTTTACCTGTATATTAAGTACCTATATTTAATAAAAATATTTTCGAGATTTACTGTAACGAAAAAGCGGATAAATAATAGTACAAATATATTACATATTGTAAAGAAAAAAAAGTTTTAAATCAAATAGTCATATATTAAAATGTAAAGATAATAAAAATAGGATTTCAACAAGTTATAAAACATTGTTTTATCACATTGCACAACAAGTTCAATACCTATGTTCTCCATTTCACCAGCATAATGCATATGTAAATGTGTTGTGAATATTATTTATTGATGAAATAGTATATTCGTATATTCGTGAATATTTTGTTTTAAGATGATTATAGATCGTTAGGTACCTATATATACGGCTATACTATGACTTATGACTTAATAAAGTACCTGTTAGTTTTTCGTTTAATTAATTTATTGGTATAAAGTTGTTATTATTTAAATGCAAGTATACTCATATACCTAATAATTATGCAAATAACAAATAATATGAATTATGAATTCATATTCAACAGTTAATATTTGTTAAAAATACAATAAATTATGGATATTCTTACTTAAAAATATAAATTATAATAAAAAGTTCGCAAAATTTATCATATACATACGTATAACATTTAAAAATTAAAAGTGACACTTGGTATCTCCATTTTTTTTTTGTCATATTGTCATTTATATTATTGAATATTACAAAATAACTTATTATTAACAAGTAGTTTTATGATCTGGGATTGTAATATTTTCGCCCGAAAAGAGTACCATTATACAAATTTTATAGCAATAGCAGTGCACTGGACTGTCTGGGCTCTTATTTTGAGGCCATGAAGTTTGTATTCACTACTTTTGTCTTTCATTAGGTAACCACTAACCACTATGTATATTATAATATAATACATAGTAATTTAAGACCTTGGCCTAGCCCAGTAAAATACCGTTTGTCCTTGGAAACAGGGTACACTTCATCACTCATTACCCTGTAAATAATTTTCAATTTTGTTGGTGGGACATTTAACTAGACTAATGGATCATAAATTTCTATGACTTACAATTTTGCAACTCATGTATTTTTCTCATGTGCAAAACAACTTCTTTTTTTTAATAGAAATTTTAATTTTAAAATTTTTAATTTTAAGCTATTATTATGAATAACATTTTCGGATTGATGGGTTTTTTTCAAGTAATTTTGATTCATCAACTTGTATTCTAAACCCAAAATTGGCAAAGTTAGATCACGTACACGAAGTTGGCCCCCCCACATTCTGCAATTTTTTTAATTAGTTTTAATTTAATTATTATTCATTATGTTATCGTGATGTTTAGAAGGAAAAAATATTTGATTTTTTTTAACTGTACGTATTTTTTCCTTTTAAACATCACGATAACATATTGGAAATTATTTACAGGGTAATGACTAATGAGTGATAAAGTGTACCCTGTCTCCGCGGACACATGGTCTATATAGTTTCAGTTAGGTATTTAAATTATTTTATTTTGTTTCAAAATTGGAAATGTTTGGTTAGGTACTAAGTTACTCCTAGTTAGGTATTAATTTGGTGATATTATATAACTAATGTGAAACCCATATTATAAACTGACAAATGTAATGCAATTTAATCTCAATAATATCATACGGTTATTTCGTAAATATTTTTTGATAAATGATGTTACCAAATAATGCTATGTTAATTAATACTAATAATTACTTATTATTATTAGTTTATCAAAATTAAATTTACTAATTTCCATATGATTTAAATTTTAAATTGCTAATATGTAATAACTAATAAGTAAGGCTAAATTATACAGTTATTGTAATCCGTTATTATTACTTAGAGGCACACCATTTGTTATTACGATATAATTATGATATTATAGCAGTTCAAATAAAATATGTTATTATAATCATTTATGGTACAAAATGTATTTATACTATTCTGGGGATACTCGAATTACGCGTTCAAATCTTCATATATGTATAGACATGGCATAATAACTAGGATTTTGAAGTCACAAAAGCTAGAGTCCTGAATCATAATAAAGTTTGAAAAATCCCTTTTAGTGCGTTATTAATCACAACAATTTTTTATAATATCAGGTATTTTCAATAGAATGTGACTGTATTTAAAGGACTTTTTAAAAATATATCGTTGAAAATAACGTTCAATATTATGTTCGATAAATCATTTTGAATATTTAAAATAGACAAATTGAAAATAGTCGATAGTATACACGGTTTTTTTCCTTCTCTAACTCCAAGAGTATCCACCATTCACAGGTTGCTATTTAATATAAAAGTTATTTTCCAAATTTGAATCTTAACTATTTCTTCGGCTCGTTAAATATACATTTGGAGCCTTGGAAGTTGGAGGAATCCATAAGACCTCTTTTCAGTCAGGCACTACTAGATAATGTGGACAATAGTCATCTCGACGAGTATAATATAATATGGTTAGATTTTGTGGGACATAATTATGTATTATGTACAAAACAAACTACAAAACTATATAACTACAAAACGGTTTTTCGCACACGAATGAAGCTTCTATATTATAACATAATATTACACATGCAGATGTCACCGACGGAGATCACAGATGCAGTGATGCCGGGTATAATTTATGATATTACCATACATTATTATTATTATTATTATTATGAGGGTAGTCCGCGAGCGCGTCACGGCCAGCGTCACACGGACACACGCGAAAAAGAGGCGCCGCCAGTCACTTGCCGGCCAAAGGGTCCGCGTCAGAGTAGACTTTTCGGTGTCCCTCCGCGCGCGCGCGTGCGTACGTGTGTGTATGTGTGTGTACTCATGTCGGCGAGCGGAGAGGGCACACACACGTAAAATGCCCGAGTTGCCTTAGGGGGCTCCGGTGGCGTCGTCGTCGTCGTCGTCGGCGGCGGCGGCGGAGGCAGCGTTGCTGCCGTTGCCGTTGCCGCCGCCGCCGTTTAACGATTGGCGACAGCCCGGGATCGGCAGCAGCAAGCTTCCCCCGCCGCCGCGCGCACCACCACCGACACCGAACACCTTTACGCGCGTACAAATCCCCTACCACCGCCCCCGCCTCAGCCACCACCACCGCCACCGCCGCCGACAACACCGCCACCGCCGTAACCTCGCGCGGACACCGCTCGTGAGCCGGCGGCGGGAGGTACGCGCGCCCGTAGCGTATATTATAGTAAACTTTTATCAGCCACCACCGGCAGGGCGCCCCCACCGGCGGTCGCCGTCACGGCGGCGTCACGCACCCGCACAAGCGGAGTATCGGGCTGACGGGGGAGCGCACGCGCGTCCACAGTACCGAGTGGAACGCCGTCGACGCTGAGCCGCGTCTGCCCGTGGCCCGTGCGTCGTCGACGTCGTACTCCGTCACCGTACGCGCGCGACACGTTACATTTGTCCGCCGCGAGATAACGAGATAATACTGTGCGCGTACACATCCCCACACACACGTCACACACACACACACACACACACACACACACACGCCCACGCATATATCGGCGAGATAACTGCCGTCGGTGGTGGTGCTGCTGGCGGTGGCGGTGGTGGTGGTGGCGGCGGTGGTGGTGCAGTATACACGGAAACGGCACCGTCGTTGCCGTCGTGGTGCACTACGTAGCGCCGCGCGAAGGTACACGCACACTGTATAATATACATCACGCACACACGCGCCCGCGCGCACTCGCTCGGCTACGCGGTACACACATTTCGTGCGTCGCGTTTCTCGGTCTACACAGTACGATCGTTGCAGTCAGTCGTCGTCCGACGTGTGTGCGGCGCGCTTCGTTCGAAACGATACTTAATAATTCCTCTATGATTATAGTATCATATTTTTTTTTTAAGATTACAATACAACTGACGAGACAAATATAATATATACGTATATACCATCCATATTGTTATATCGTACGTTTTTTTTGTTCGTCCATCCAAAATGGCAAACTGAACGCACCGGCGGTTTTTTCCCTCGTGTCGTGTACCGGTCCCACCGCCAGGAATCTCGGACGAAATAATATTATTATGATCGTGTGGTGAACGGCAGCTCGCGTGTGTTGCTGTTGTCGTTGTTGTTGTTGTTGCTGCGGTAAAACAACGTTCGACGAAAACGCGGCTGGACGACATGAAGAAGTTCACGTTCAAAGGCGTTTTAGACGGTATACGGTCATCCGTGGCGCCACAGATCAAACCCGATCAGGAAATTGTCGAGACGCTCCGGCCCGACTACTTCCAGGTGGCCAAGGTGAGTTTGCTCTCTACGGCTGTAGCCGAACTATATAATGCCAAATAATACATCATATTAATGGCAATATAGAATAAAAATCATTTTTAATAACGGCGACGACAACAACGACGATTGCGTACCTACCGCGTATAATATTGCACAGACTGATGCAGCAGTAAGACCGTATCGCGATGCCGTAGTTCAAACGGTGGCGGGGTAACGTACAGCGATTCCCGCGCGAGGCCCGGCATCGTTGGCGCGCGCTCGTCGCGGCGGTGAAAGGGGGGGGGGAAACGCGAGGTTATCGCGTGGCCACAATCGCGTATATATTCGTGCATTGTGTGTAATAATAATAATAATAATAATAATAATAATAATAATAATAATAATATTGTTATTATGCAATGGACTACAACTTCGTCTATCCGGTGTGTTCCACTCACCGGCGATGATGTTGGTCGCGCGCGCGCGTGCGCCCGCTTATCGGACCGCATTCTTAGCGGCGGCAGTGGCCTACCTATGATATGCAACAACAATACGGCAGCCGCGGTGGCGGCGGCGGCGGCGGTATTCGTCGGCCGCGGCAGCGGTTCAACATGTGCGACCATATGGATGTCAGTCAAACAGACCGCCGCCGCCCGCCGCCCGCCGGCTGCAGCTCGTCACACGAACCAGCAATAATATTGTGTTGCTCTGTAGACGAGGCGCGTGTTGAAATTACACGTCTTTTTACGATAAAATATGGACAAACGTGCTGTAGTGTGTAAACACGGTAAACAGTACCTGCCGGTGTATGCTCGTCGTCGTCGTCGTCGCCGTCGTCATTACAAATTGGTTTTTTAATAAATGAGTTTTTTTCGCTCACCCAATAACGGCATACTGCTACAGTAGCGAGAGCTACGAGAATACAGGGTGTACGCAGGAGAGTCGAGTCTTAGGCATTTTTTTAACACGTCTTTCGTTTTATAATTAGCCCGTCCGTAGGTACATACGATATATTGTATTAAAATATATATATATGTTTTGGGGATAGGGGTACACGCATATTGTGCAGTGGTTTGTATATATTATTGGTTCTGACAACTAAAACAACTTTTTTTTCGAAATAAAAAACGTCCGAGGGGGTCGAGGGGCCGTGTCGAAGTTAAATCTGCAATAATTGTTCTCCTGACACCCTTGTAGCTATTGGTATGCGTATAAATTGCTCTGATCGAATCGATAATCGTTTTTATGAACGAAATATGTATTATTATTGGCACACTGGGTATCATTATAATATTCCTTATAATAGCAGATGACAAATTTCATACATAAAATATGTAAATTTATAGGTGTGTTTTGTTTTTTGTCCGTGTGGTTAGTCGCACATGGCGCGGGTTTTAAGAACGAGTTGTAGTTCCATCTAGTGAAATAGTTGTTTTTTCCTTCTATCATAATATCATTATTATTATTATTATTATTATTATTATTATTATCATCGACAACGTAGTATAATGTAATAGCCAATATTATGTAGTTATACCTACGTCATAAATAAGATACGCTTGAACTTACGAAAATAGTTGTTTTTACCTACTTGGTAGAAACCCATTAATTTTTTTAACCACAGTCTTCTTTCGACGACCTAAAATAATTAATACATTGCAAGTACATAAACGATGGGTCTTAGGGTTTTAAAAAATAGAAAAGGTGATCTATTTTAAAATGATTAAATTCTGATTGGGCAAACCTATGGACTCAAATACGTGGTTGTTCGATAACTGGAATAAAATAATATCAAGTAAAAATCACATTAAGTTACAACTTGTTTCAAATTGTTCTATTAAAAAACCGTAAGTGTAACCTATTGGTCATACTGTAAATAAATGGTGTAGATGTAGGTACGTGTACTTTACGCATACGTCGGTTTAATTCATTAATTGTTTACTTTACACATAGCTCTAATGGTGTTCTTTGATAGAATTTTAATGTGCAAGCAAAATAATATGATTGTAAAATGTAAATGCAAAGTAGTGGGAAATTGATTAAATTATGTTACATATTTGAATATTATGCATGTCAAAAACAATTATGTCTAAAAAAATTGTTTCAACGAAATATTGATACAAGATAGAATAATAATAATTAAGCTAGTTATAAAAATAATTTTGATTAATTTTATAGAAAATCACGAATTTAACTTGTTGTGGGTAACCAGCAATGTCGCCCTGATGTACCTATATTATGTAATACAATATTTTAAACTGTTATTTGTATTTTAAAAACAAATAATACTCAGCCACGTAATGGTTGATCACTTTAGTGTCAAGCTTATAATAACTGTTCAAAATAATAATAATATTTTTGATAGGTAGGTAATGTAGTTAGTAAAGAAATAGAGACTATAATATGTTTATTAAATAAAAATATAAACATATTAAGAAAGATTTAACTCGCAAAATGTCTATTAGAATATATGAATGTTCGTGAATGTATGATTATTATTTATTTAAAAAACAACAGTCGTGTGTTATTATAGGTAGGTGTGTTGCACAATGCAAGGTATTCTATATATTTATATTCATTAGTTCAGAAATGACCTTCACACATAAACTGCTGATTATTTTATTTTGTTCATTCAAAATGTTTTGATAGAATAATTTTTAGATTTTAAATTAACATTTTAGTTCTTTTAAGCTAGGATCAATATTATTACTTTCTGAATGACTGGAATTTATTTTCTTAAACTATTTGTCATTAGTCGTTACACTAAGAAATGTAAAAGTATTTTAAACCTATAGACGTTCTTGATCGTCTTAAAGGAAAATTAATTTATAGTGAGAATCTGTCATAGTGATTCACGTTAAAATGAAATACCATTTTGAAGGTCAAAACAAACAGCATTATATTAATAATAACGTTGTATTATTATTGAAACGCCGATTGTTATCCATTGTCACCGTAATTGTCGCAGGTACGCACAGACTTTCGGAAACAACTCTCGTTGTTGCTAAATCCACTGACTAAATAAATTCAACGCGTGTTGTTTGCAGCCAGCTAAATCCTAAATAAGTGCCCATTTGAATTTGCTTGTTTCAATTGCATTTTTTATAAACATATTTCGAGTTGTCAGTTTGAAAACGTCTGTTGCTCTATTGCAAAAAATATTATTGAAGCCTACAGGGACTTTGATATATTATTCATTTTCGCATTCCCCGGAGATACACTAGAGTAGGTTTCCTACGGGGATTGTACACCCTGGAAAGCCATTGCCTTGGAATGCCGAATTTGTGAAAAAAATATGCTCACATATTACTATATACATAATGAAGAACACGTCCTAAAGGACTTAACATAATGATATAAAAACAACATATTTTCTAACCATTATTTTTTTATTTAGATAGTTATTCAAATATATAATTATTTAAATGTCAGTTTTATACTCCGTATCTTGTTTTTTTTTAAAGGATAATTAATTTATATTATTTTTTGCGAAGTATAATTATTCATAACTGTTTTAGGATCTTATTTCTTAATTTTTATATCCCGGGTACTACCATTTGTTTTGCCAGTTTCCTAGAGGATTAACTCTCCTTAGTTTGTGTCCGTATAACGTTTCTGACTTAACTCTTCTTTAGTGTAAGACTATTATAGTTTATGCATTTCATATTATAATATATGACCAGTTAAAAAATATATATATTTCTGCACAAGTTTCTGCATGTATTATCACATTTTATTCATTTTGTTATTTTTTTTTCGAGTATTTACAATTTAATATAATACCTAAACTGTATAGTTAAGAAATGCATGACTACATTATTAAAGATTTTTATTTATATCACTTAATAAATCTGAAGTAGGTACTTTATTTAGTATTTACACTTATTATGACATTTTCAACCATAGCGGATACCTACATAGAATTACTGAATTGTACTTTTGTATTCAATATATTTTTTATTGAAAGACATTTTCTGTTTTGAGTATACAGAACTTAGAAAAATCTGAAACATGAATTTAAAATGTCTTTAGACGGGTAGTAATTGATTAAATTTCTAATTGTTTAATTATACCTAATTGATAGCTTAATCAAACAAATTTTTGATGGTAAAATTCATTAATAATTAAGTATCAATTAAAATTATTTATAAATAGGTATCTCACAATTTGATACTCTGTAATAAAAGAGACCTCGGCACTTTAAAGTTATGACGACTAAATAAATTTTCTTTTAATTAAAAATAAACTGATTATTATAATAGGTATTATAATAAGTCATAACTAATTTATAAGTTTAATGACAAGAGTTGTACCTATAGAATTTAGAGGGTAGAATATTTCTTGATGTGTATGACGTTTGTATGTCGTACGGTCGTATACATTATTTTTAGAATGAAGCTTGTTGAATCTGAAATTATCAACTCTAAATGTGGCTTTGGTAGTAAGAGCGAATTGAATTGAATTGAATTTTTATAACTAAATACTTTTGTTATTTTATAATTGAATGAAAAAAACAATTAAACTATTACAATGTGGTTTGAATGTTCAGAAAGTTGCCTCGTCATCATAGATGATTAATGAATTTATGAACCGTACCTGGAAAGTGGGACTAGAGTTTTACATTAATTTTAATTTTTAAACGTATTATTTATAGTGCACTAATGTCGAAGTACCCGTTTGTCATAATTAACGATACTGCAGTAATTGTACATTTGTACGTGATTGGGAGATAAGTAATTGCTATGATTTTTACCTCGACTATAACATGATGTTTCTTTTTAATTCTTGTAGTTTGTCACATTTTTTATTGCAATTCGATACAAAACTACTTTTATGTCATTTTTGTATATTTTTTGTTTGTTTTATTATTTATTAATATTAGATTATTGTGAACGATAATTGATACATTTAGTAATAATTGTAAATAGTTAGTTATTAACTAATAACAAATGAGTATTGACAACGCTAGTATATCTAAACAAAATCAACCAATGTAATAATAAGTACCTAGGTAACTTTAAAAAGGAATTGAA